AAACCATCAGATCTAGCCAGGCACAGTGGCTCACACCAATAATCCCAGCACTTTGAGAGACTGAGGCGGGTGGATCACTTGAGATCAGGAGTTCGAGACTGGCCTGGCCAACATGGTGAAACACTGTTTCTACTAAAAATACAAAAATTCGCTGGGTGCGGTGGCTCACGCCTATAATCCCAGCACTTTGGGAGGCCGAGGCAGATGGATCCCGAGGTCAAGAGATCGAGACCATCTTAATCAACAATGTAAAACCCCATCTCTACTAAAAATAAAAAAAAATTAGCTGGGCATGGTGGCGCGTGCCTGTAGTTCCAGCTACTTGGGAGGCTGAGGCAGGAGAATTGCTTGAACCCAGGAGGTGGAGGTTGCGGTGAGCCGAGATCACGCCATTGCACTCCAGCCTGGGTAACAAGAGTGAAACTCTGTCTCAAAAAAAAAAAAAGTACAAAAATTAGCTGGGCATGGTGATGCTCATCTGTAATCCCAGCTACTTGGGAGGCTGAGGCGTGAGAATTCCTTGAATCCAGGAGGTGGAGGTTGCAGAGAGCCAAGATTGTATCACTGCACCCCACCCTGGGTGACAGGGTAAGACTCTGTCTCAGAAACAAAAACAAAAATGGCCAAGCACGGTGGCTCATGCCTGTAATCCCAGCACTTTGGGAGGCTGAGGCAGGTGGATCATGAGGTCAGGAGTTCGAGACCAGCCTGGCCAACAAGGTGAAACCCCATCTCTACTAAAAATACAAAAATTAGCCAGGCATGGTGGCAGATGCCTGTAATCCCAGCTACTGGGGAAACTGAGACAGGGAATTGCTTGAACCTGGGAGGCAGAGGTTGCAGTGAGCCAAGATTTTGCTACTGCACTCCAGCCTGGGCAACAGCGTGAGACTCTGTCTCAAAAAAAAAAAAAAAAAAAATCAAAACAAAACAAAACGCCATCAGATCTCGTGAGAACTCACTCACTGTCATGAGAACAGCATGGGGGAAACCACCTTGTGATTCTATTATCTCCACCTGGTCTCTCCCTACCTCCGCCTGGTCTCTCCCTTGACACAAAGGGATTGTGGGGATTACAATTCAAGATGAGATTTGGGTGGGGACATAAAGCCTAACCCCATATCAGGAGGCAAAGTCTATCTTTCTAACTCTTCTAGTCAGCTAGCTCCTGCTGGGTTCTCTTCTGTTCCTTTTTTGGCACCCCCTTTCCCATACCCTCACTCCGCCCACCACAGAAATCCAACAGGAACTACAGTTATCGGCAATGGCCCAGACTTTAAAAGTTTCCTTCAATATCCTCCCAAACCCTACCAGTCCTGTATCCCATCCCATCAGGGCTAGATTTTCAAGATAAACCAATGGCCTTCAAACTTTAGCATAAATCAGAATCCCCAGGAGCACTTGTTCAAACAGATTCCTGGTTCCCATTCTAGAAGTTCTGATTCAGTAGGTCTAGGGTGGAGCCTGAGAATTTGCATTTTTTCTAACTTCTCATATGTTGCTGATACTGCAAAGGCCACATTTTAAGAACCCCTGGAAAGAAAGTAATGCAAAACCAGGGGCAACAGGTGATTTATGCTGGAATGATGAAAGGAATCTTTAGTTCATTTTGACTCAGCCCCTTCACAGAGTTTCTGATTCAATTGGCACTGTCTGGATTTGGTGACTCCCAGATCATTTTCCCTCTGCTTCACCTTGTCTTCTTCCTCCAACGTTCTCTTTTTTTTTTTTTTTTTTTTCTGAGATGGAGTCTCGCTCTGTTACTCAGGTTGAAGTGCAGTGGCACAATCTCAGCTCATGCAACCTCCACCTCCCAGGTTCAAGCAATTCTCCTGCCTCAAGTAGCTGGAATTACAGGCACTTGCCACTACACCTGGCTACTTTTTGTATTTTTTAGTAGAGACAGGGTTTCACCATGTTGGCCAGGCTGGTCTCAAACCCCTGACCTCAGGTGATCCACCTGCCTTGGCCTCCCAAAGTGCTGGGATTACAGGTGTGAGCCACCATGCCCAGCCCCTCCTCCAACTTTCTGATCTTACTTTTCAGATGTTTCTCAGGGCTTCTCCACTTAAGACTGACTCTACGATCTTTCTCGTTCTCCCGTCACAAAGCCAGTTTCAGGACAGAGCCCTTTCCTGAGCTCTTAGCTCCATTTCAGTGCCCTCTTCTCTCTCCCTGCCCCTGAGTTGCTTGCCGCTCTTCTATCCAGTATTAGCACCCCGCACTCCAGCAGTCAGTGACCTTTGGAAAGCTGGGCTCCCATTAGGGCCCACTCCTATGTAGCAGGGGTAGCCATTTCTGCTCCCAGCCAGCGGAGTCTGGCTCTACAAACATTGGCATGCTAATGATAGTCACCTACTCCCCACTGGGAAGTTTCTGTTTGTTCCAGATTCTTTAAGGACATGGAAATACTGAAGCCCCGTCATTTACATGCCTCTGTTCATTCCTGTACTCAATAAACATTGATTGAATACCTGCCAGACACCATGCTGGGCCCAAGGGACGCCACAAGGACACATCAAACATGAACACACACATGTTTACGGCAGTGCCTGGGAGTCCCAAATGACTCTTCATAAAGGGGATCTTTTGGCCTCACTCATCAACGAGGACAGACACTCAAGGAAGAAAAGCCACGAACTGACCACTCGTGAGACATCTTGCCTTCTCAGCCCTTCCATCTCCCCTGTTCCTGGGAAAGTGATCAGGGACAAAGACTGAAAGGCATGATCCCAGAGAGTTTCCAAGCCTCTTTATTGAAATGAGTGTTATGATTCACACTTCTCAGTCGTTAGTTAGCCCACTGCACTGAGTGAGATAAGGTATGTAAAGCAAGAATACAGTGAGCTAACACCTCTCTTTCTCTCTCTCTCTCTCTTTTTTTTTTTTTTGAGACAGAGTCTCACTCTGTCGCCCAGGCTCGAGTGCAGTGGTGTGATCTTGGCTCACTGCAACCTCCGTCTCTCGGGTTCAATTGATTCTCCTGCCTCAGCCTCCAGAGTAGCTGGGATTACAGGTACATGCCACCATGCCTGGCTAATTTTTTTTTTTTTTGTATTTTTAGTAGAGGTGGGGTTTCACTGTGTTAGCTAGTATGGTCTCGATCTCCTGACCTCATGATCCACCTGCCTTGGCCTCCCAAAATGCTGGGATTACAGGTGTGAGCCACCATACCCGGCCTGAGCTAACATCTCTCTACACATTGACACACATACACTTACACTGAAACACACTGACACACCAACACATGCCAAAACACACACTGACACACTGAAGCACACACTGCCAAATGCACCAACATGCACACACTGACATACACTGGCACACACACTGGCAGACACAATCACAAATACAAACACAAGTAAACCCATGCCAGCACACACATTGGCACACAGACGTACAGACACACAGCTGGCACACACTGACAATACACATGAACACACCAACACATCTACTCACACATCAAGATCAACATACACAGTGACCCACGCCCCACTGCAGGAGGCTGGAGGCCCAGGCCCAGGACAGGCTAGTAGCCACAGGGGGCAGGTATTACAGGAACCAAAGGGTCGCGGGAGACTTGAATGAAGCACTTGATTCAGCGCTTTGAGGTTCAGGGTTTTGGAAGAGGAGGCCTCAGTGAGGTTCTGGTAGTCTCTAGGGACAGGAGAGCCAAATGGGACACACAGGTGAGACACCAAGGATTCCGTGCAAAAGTGCCCCCAGCGCTGGGCCGGAAGTTCGGAGCTTCAGTCTGCCAGGAGTGCTAAGGCGGGTGGGGCAGCGCGTGAGAGATGCCCGGAGAGGCCGCAGCCCGCCAGTCCCTTCCCGCTCCAGCAGCAGCTTTCTATTCTGGCTTCCAAATTCTCCTCTTTTGTCCCACCACCACCCAAACCCCAAGTCCAGATCGGGGCTAGCGACCTCGGGCCCTTTCAATCCACCTCACTCTAGCCTTTGCCAGGGAAGATCCCTGTCCCAGATACCCAGCCTGGAAGCGGACAGTCACCTCTGACTCCCCGCCCCCATCCGGTTGGGGCCCAAGCCTCACCGTGGTTCCTCAGACCTGGCCCCGGTTCCCCATGTCACTGCTAACCCAACCCAGGGCTCGGGCTCTGCTCAAAGCTCCAGAGAGTCTGAAAGACTCCCGCTGCCCCTCTTCCTTGCCACCGCCATCGCCCTGTGGCCTTCGCCTTCTGTCTCACGCAGCTCTCCGCGCTGAGACCTGATTGCGCCAGGCTCTTTCCCCTTAGGCCGCTCCAGGGTCTTCAGCACAATGAAGGCACACTGTGGCGCTCCGTCAATACTTGGCTCTTCATGACGGTTCTTCCTGGTACCCGCTCACTGTGTCTCTTCATGACGGTTCTTCCTGGTACCCCCTCACTGTGTCTCTTCTTTCTTCTCCCCGCTCCCCACGCCCGCATCCGAATCTTCTCCCTCAGCTTAACGGAGCGCCTCCCGGCTGCTGCGAGGCCCCACACTCCGCCTGGGATGCGTTTGCTGAGTCCTTATTTTCCAGGCGCACAGGGTATATAAAGGGCTTCCAGAGATAGTGTGGGAAGCTCCATCCAGCAGGTGGAACCGAGTGCCAGACATGCTCTTCTTTGGCCACTCCATTTTCTTTCTCTCTTTCTTTCCTTTCTTCCTTCCTTCTTTTCTCTTTTCTTTTGATGGAGTCTCACTTTGTCGCCAGGCTGGAGGGCAATGGCGCGATCTCAGCTCACTGCAACCTCCGCCTCCCGGGTTCAAGGGAATCCCCTGCCTTAGCCTCTGGAGCAGCTGGGAATGCAGGCGCGTGCCACCACGCCCGGCTAATTTTTTGTATTTTTAGTAGAGACCGGGTTTCACCATGTCGACCAGGATGATGGTCTCGATCTCCTGATCTCGCGATTCGCCCGCCTCAGCCTCCCAAAGTGTTGGGATTACAGGCGTGAGCCACTGCGCCTGGCCCGGCCATTCCATTTTCTTGTCTTCCCTGACTTCTCCAACGCCAGGGCCTCTGGGTCAAGTCCCTTCTTCTTCTCTCTCCCTGGTTCCTACTTTTCCTTTTTGCTCTCTTCTGCCTCCCCCTCGGCTGCTCCAGCCTTGGGCCTCTACGGGGTCATCTCCCATGCCCCACTGGGGCCCCCTCGTGGGCCCGGGTTTCCCCCATTGGCCTGTCACCCCCTCCCCCATCTAGGGTCCCTCTGGCGGGCCCAAGTCTCTCTCTCATACCAGGGAACCCGCCCTTTTGAGGAGTGGAATGCAGTGTTCCTCCCGCTGGGGCCTCCGGCTTGCCAAATCTGCCTGCTTGCTCCAGTTGCAGGGAGCTAGCAAGACGACAGTCCCGGGAGAGAGGGGAGGGCGCCAGGGCCGGAGAAGTGGAGAGGTGCCCAAGAGAGAGGACCCGCGGCGCGGAGGGCCAGGAGGAAAAGGAGAGCGGGCGTGCACTCTCCTGCCTTCGGAAGTTCTCTCCTCTGCGTCCGGTTGGCCGCGAGCCCCAGGCTGAATGAGGGTCAAGGAGAAATCAGGGGGCGGGGCAGAGTGACTGCAGGCCGCTCCCCGTCACCCGCCCCTCTATCTCGCTCCATTGATCTGGGAACCTTTATCTTCAGCCCCTCCTTGTACTAGAAGGGGTGGGTAGTCTGAGTCTCTGCTCACGCTGAGCGTCTAGGGTTCTGTTGGAGAGAGGAGGCGTGCAGTCCGTCTGTACTAAGTACCCAAAGGTGGTAAGCTCGGCTCCAAGAAATTACAGTCCACAGCACCCGAGGCTTGGAAACCCCGGAGCAGACTCAGCGTCTCAAGACCTGTAGCCTTGGACCGCACATGGCACAGCTCAGCTCAGTTGCGGGGCCACAGTGCAGCTCCCCACCCTGGCCCCTTTCTAAGCTCTACCGTGGAGCCGGCAGGTGCCGCAGGCCTCCTCTGTACCTCGGCCTCAGCTGCGCTCCCGGGCCATGGGGGGAGGGAGACACAACAGTGGGGCATCTAGACTCCAGCGGCCACGGCGCACCCATCCAAGCACCCTGGAATCTCGGTGGAAAGGAAGGGGGGTACCAGAGTCTGGGAGAGAACTGCAGAGCTCCGCTGCTGAGCCGAGCCTGGGAGGGGGGAGGGGCGGGGGCTTCCTTCCAGCCTCAGGGGTCTGGGGACTTAGGGATGTAAGGAGAGCAGGGGGGTGTGACAATTCAGCAGAGGTCGGGACGTACCACGGAGCTCAGTGGCGGGGGGGGGCAGAGGACGTGGTCACCGAGGGGAGCCCCCGCCCCGCTTCGCAGAGGCCTATGGCTGGGGTTGCAGGAAGAACTGGAACTGGGCTTGCCGTAGGGGGAAGCGGCGCGTTAAATCCGCCCCCTCTACTTACCCTACTTTCAAGGGGTGGGCGGTAGAGGGGAGGTTGGGGTTGGAGCAGCGGCGAGGGGGCCCCTCCCTTGCACCTCCCTCCACCGGACTTGGTCGCGCCCGAAGTGTAACACTTTCTCTTTGTCGGAGGAGCTCCTCTGTTTCCTGTGCTGTAGCTCCCGTTGCGGCGGCACCCGTGGCAGCCCTGGCGGACGAAGGAGCGATGGCAGCAACCGATATAGCTCGCCAGGTGGTGAGTGCAGGGCTTGGGTGCCAGGGCCAGGACCGAGGGCCTGGGGAGGGTCGAGGAGACCTGGCCGCCGCCGCCACATCGCGAGGAGGGCAATGGGCAGCATCCAGGAGCCGAGGGCACGGTGGGACTTCTGCTCCCGGGGTCAGCAGCTCAGTCCCCCAGCCTGTCCCGGAAAACGGTGGTGGCGCTAGGGGGGGCAGCAGGGGGTCTGGCAAAGCCTGCGGGCCGGCAGCTGAACTTGCATTGCCCAAGAGCCGCAGTGAGCGCCGCCGCCTCCCTCGCTGCAGCTGCGGCCCCACGGTTGGGGCGTTGCCGAATGAATGGCCATCAGAGCCTCGGAGCCCTCCGGGTCCTTGGCACCCTGGCCTTGCCGCGCCCCTGCGCGCGGCTGCCCGCTGGGACCCGGGACAGCACAGGCAAAGAGGCGCGGGGCTGGGGTTAGCCTGGGGCAGAAGGCGGTGAGTGGTGAGGGGGGCGGGGAGGTGACTGGCTGGGATAGGGTTTCTCTATATGCATTACATATGTGACTGCGTCTGTGTGTGTATCCGTGTGAGCGTATGTGTGCACGCGTGCGCGCTCCTGCCTTCCCTGGCGGGCGGCGGCGGCGCCGGGGTTCTGTCTGTGACCCAAAGAAGTCCGCCTGTTTCCCTGAGTGTGCTCACCTCAGTGGTGTGTGTCCGAACGCCTCTCTGCTTGGGCTGTTTGCCTCTGGGTCCCATTTGTGCGTCAGTGTTGGGTGCAGTTGGCTGGCCTGTAGGTGGCTGGCTGCGTATTTTGGCATGTTTTTGAGCGGGCCTCTGAGGATCTGTCTCGGGTGCATGTTCAGTGTAACTGGGCTTGTGTGCCAAAACCTGTGGAGCTGGCTTCTTTCTATGGAGACTCAGGAAAATAAGTGTGAGACTCGCAAAAACGGTGCCGTCTCTCTTTTTGTTGGCGACCGACTTTGGGGGAAAAAAAAAATCTTCATTTAAAGAACTGAAGTATTCCAGCCTGGGATGTGCAGAGAAACCATGAAGTGACCTGAGGCTCCATGTTTGGTTTTTAGACCAGAAGTTTGGTTGCAAAGGGTGATGAATTCCATTTGGGGGGGACACCCTAGCTTTATTAATCCATGGATATCTGGGGTTTTAAGAAGCTCACCAGCACCCCCAGGTGAGGAAGGAGTGGGAGATAGAGGTAGGTCAAATCCCGCCGGCACCAAATACTACTTGACGAAAATCTCTGAACCACATAAAAAGGCTTTTCAACCTTGTAGCTTACTTATTTAGGAAAATAGTTCATGCAATGCAATTACAGTACAAAAAAAGCCTCTAGGTATTTGGTGTAATTGAAATTGATTTTTCAAAATCTGAAGCCAGACTCTGATAGTATTTTCTCTACAGAATATGTATTAATGTATTCCACTCTTTTGTCGCTGTTTGAAAGGGCAGGATCATTTCTTCGGAATCTCCTCTACCCTCTGCACCCCCTAACCCAGAGCACTTTATGGAAGGACCAGGAGTAGACAGGAGACATTCTCTGTGATGATGGAATTTGAGAGAATTTTCTTCCCCCAAGATTGGCACTCTCGTGTTTATTGCTTTAGTGTTTTGAGGACTCCCTCTTTTCTGCTGTGGCTTTTCTGCTCCTGGTTACCTGCATTTCAGAGATGGTATAGTTGAAGTAGAGGAATTAGTCTCCAGGATTATACTTGCTCCATCCAAAAATGATGCTAATAATTTTTCGTGTGAGCTAATGAATTTGCATCGACCTGTCTTCCATACTCTCTCACCATTTCTCTTGCCTGGATTAGGATTGCAGGGCAGATGTTGCAAAGGGGAACCTTCCAGAAGATTGTGTGTGTTTCACCTCAGGCACCACTCAGGCAACCCAGAGATCCCCTTTGTTCTGCAGATGGGGGTGAGGGGTGGTTTAGGGCCACTTGGTTTGCTTTGCATGGCTCCAGCTTGCTCTGGCTGGCTTTGCCATATACTGTGTGATGAAGAACATAATTGTACGCCAGATTCTGAAGCTGAAAGAGCAGCCTAAAGCACTCGAGACCTTGTTATCGTGATAAATGGGTTTCTGGGAAAACTGACGTCACTCTCCATGTCCCCCTCCCCCAGCCAGTGAAGCTCTTGTTTATGTGTCATTTGTCTCTCTGTTCTCCTTTGTGTCTGCAAGAAGTTGTAATTCACCAGGGAAGATGGAATTAACTCAGGAGACCTTGGACTTCTGGTTGCTGCTTGTTTCCTCCAAGGAACATGTATTCAGGGTTTGGGAACAAAAGACTGGAGAATAAACCTAAGCATGGCTAGCTTAGGAATTCTTTTTTTTTTGAGACGGAGTCTTGCTCTGTTGCCCAGGCTGGAGTGCAGTGGTGTGATCTTAGCTCACTGCAACTTCTGCCTCCTGGGCTCAAGCGATTCTCCTGTCTCAGCCTCCCCAGTTGCTGGGATTACAGGTGTGTGCCACCACACCCAGCTAATTTTCGTATTTTTAGTAGGGACTGGGTTTCACCTTGTTGGCCAGGCTGATCTCAAACTCCTGACCTCATGATCTACCCGCCTCGGGCTCCCAAAGTGCTGGGAGCCACCACGCCTGGTCAGGAATTCTTTTTAATGAGCTCTGAGACGTGGTACCATGTGAGTAAGTACCCTAGTGTGTGTATGAGGGTGGGGTGTGTATGGGGGGTGTTCTTTCTAGAGTCAGTTGAGAGTCACTGTGGGTAAGCATCCTTAGTGACTAAAACAAGCCTTCAAGTTGTTGGGTAGGGCTTATATTGCATTCAGGCAACTTGGAAGTTCAATTCTGGTGAACGTAATACAAGTCCATCCCATTTCAATGAACACCACAAAGGGTTTGGTGTGACAACACCATTTGTCCACTGTGTCTGTATTTATTTAATTGACTGACATGTGGCCAGCACTATAGTTAGCCCTTGTCAACTGGACAAAAGAAGGTAGTAAGCTTTAAAAAACGTTCGTGGCTTTTAAGCTTATAGTCTAGTTGGAGTGACAAATGGTGGACACTGTGAAATAATTAAAGAACTATAGAAGGGCCAAGTGTGGTGGTTCACGCCTGTAATCTCACCACTTTTGGAGGCTGAGGCGGGTGGATCACCTGAGGTCAAGAGTTCAAGACCAGCCTGCCCAACGTGCTGAACCCCTGTCTTTACCAAAAATACAAAAGCCAGCCAGGCATGCTTGGGAGGCTGAGGCACGAGAATCGCTTGAACCTGGGAGGCAGTGGTTGCAGTGAGCTGAGATCGTGCCATTGCACTGCAGCCTGGGCGACACAAGGAAACTCTGTCTCAACAACAAAAAAAAAACTATAGAAGATCCTTGGGATGCTCCACCTCACTCCCTGCCTGTGAGGTGGCGTGGGCTGCTATTAACATATATACTTCAAGAGGTTCCATGGCTTGTCCAAGGTAACCAAGGAACAGGGCAGGCCCCAAAAGCTGCATCTCCTGGCTCTTGTAATGAAGCCGTTCCCTTCAACGTTGCATTCTGGGATCCAGCCCGTAAAGGCTGGCCCATGCAAAGAACGTCTGCATGATTCTGACTTGAGCTATTCCCACAATGTGAACAAGGAAGCTTTCTTCAGTGGCAATCTGGATAGTGGTCCTTCTCTCAAATGAACTTGCAGAGGCTAACTTTGCCCTACAATGTTAGCTGGGGTTGGTCTAGGTCAACTGTCTGAGAGCAACTGTCTCCAGGTGGGGAAAAGATTGATGTTGCACTCTGGTTTTGCTATCATCACGTTGCAGTTTGATTTCCTTTGAGGTCTCTGCGTCAGGCGTTCCTACCACCACCTGCTAAAGATAGTATGTACCTCAAACACAGAAAACAAAACCCAATCACCTAGCTCTACTGGTGATACAACACAGAAGAAAGTTTAAATGGCCCCAAATATTAAAAAATGTTGATTCTAAATTTGAGAGCTTTCATTACATTATTTTCTAAGTTTTCTGTGTGTTTGGGATTTTTCTTTGTTTCTTTTTTTTTCTCCAAGACGGAATCTTGCTCTGTCACCAGGCTGGAGTCCAAATGGTGCGATTTCGGCTCACTGCAACCTCCGCCTCCTGGGTTCAAGCAGTTCTCCTGTCTCAGCCTCCAGAGTAGCTGGGATTACAGGTGCACACCACCATGTCTGGCGGATTTTTGTATTTTTAGTAGAGACAGCATTTCACCATGTTAGCCAGGCTGGTCTCGAACTCCTGACCTCGTGATCTGACTGCGTCGGCCTCCTAAAGTGCTGGCATTAACATGCCACCCACGCCTGGCCTGGGATTTTTCAAAATAAAAGGTGGGCAGAATGACAATGCCCTTCAAATGGACATGGCCCCTTCTTTCAAGGAGTTTACAATCCAGTGGTGGAGGCAGACACAAATCACTATCTAATTATCATTGTGATAAGTGCCACATGGGAGACTGACTGCCTGCCATGAGATTTCATTACTAAGGGAACCTAATTCAGCAGTGAATGGAGGCAGAGGGTGACAGGAAGGCTTCCTGAGGGCTTCAAATAGGAAATGGGTAGGTGTGAAGGTGGGTGAGATCTCACATCTGCTACTGGGTTGGGAACATATTCATTTACCAATTCACCTACTTTTATTTTCATTCGTTCCTTCAGCACACACTCACTGGGCACTGATCAACCAGGCCCTGTGCCAGGTGCTGGGGATTTAGTGGTGGCCAAGGCATGCAGGAACTCTGCCCTCTCAGAGCTTCCAGATGAAAGGCAGGAATAAGCCCTGTTTCCTCTTCACATCCGAAATCCTGGAAATGTGAGTGTTAGCGGTGTTCTTAATACAAAACTACGTTACAGCAGAATGATTTGTCTGTATCGTCTAATGAGATTTTGATCTGCAGTCATGTGCATAGCATTTACTTTGTGGAGTCTCTGATGTAAATTTTCTATTAATTGCTGGCTTTATTTCCAAGCATGGCCCCTGCCTTTGTGTGCTATGAAGGAGCAAACCCATTGCATTAACCTGAGCAAAACTAATTAGGAAG